TCGTGCACAAACGTCCAGACAAAGTAAGCATCCCACGTCATATTTTGTTTTCCAAAAGAGCTTCTTGGCTCTCTGTAAGGCTAATGTTGCTAAAGCTACCATTGTCTCTGCCTGTTTTCACTAATGCTGCCTTCACGTGCTACCAGAATGATCGTAAATAGGAATGTGGTAGTTAAAAATTGCATTTGGAAGCAATGTGAGGATCAGTAACATGGTCACCACCAGTTAAACCGTAACAACAGTATGCCCGCGAGCATGAGCTCTTGAAGCTCCGCACTCTTCTGAAAAGGGAGGCGGGAGCACCAGCTCATTTTCATTTAAAGGGGACAAACACAAAAAACAGCGCGTTTTGGCTCATACCCTAAAAGTGGCAATTTCAACAAGCTATAAAAAATTATCTGTGGGTATTTTGAGATAAAACTTCACATACACACTCTGGGGACATCAGAGAACAATTTAAAATATTGTATCAATGCATTCTATGGCACCTTTAAGTCATTCTTCACAAGAATATTGATCTTCTTGTCAACAATTCATCCATGGTTATATATATATTTTTTCCCCTCGTAATTTCATAACTCTATCTACTGGTGAAACCGACTTCTCTCTTGTAATTTCTCCAGCCAATAATTCCCATTCTTACAACCAACCTCAAGCTCACATTCAGATCCTCCTTAATCCAATCAACAACTGATGAATTGAACCAAGACAGTGTTTAACATGAATCTATGCCTGCTTGAGCTTTTCAGACATTTGAAGGAAAGATTGCACAGAAAGGTAGTTGTGGCTATCGCATGTGTCTTACTGTTGTGGTTTTACAGGAAACCAATCGGAAACCAGTGTGCTGCTCGCACTGTGCTTTTGTCACTAGTGCACGCTCTTGTGTTGAGATGTTGGGTTCATATCGAGAAATCAGTCACTCGATGGAGTTTGCAACTGAAATATTGTGAATAACATCACACAGGCTGCCAGAGCGATCACGGGTTTCCATATCTGCTGTGTTTGTTCAGAGGTGAATAGATGTGCTGTCGGCAGTGTGGCGTGTGTTTGCATTGCACACAGATTATGAGAGTCACAAGAGCAGGTGAAGTGTGTGAGATCAGTCCACAGCTGAGTGCCAGCTCTCGTGTCTGTACTGTCCGCTCGCTCTCAGCTCTCATGTGTCCTGTTCAGAGGAAATCTGCATTAGATTTTTCACAAGATCTATGTTTTCATTTAGTTTTTTTCTGGGTTCTGTTCATGGAATAATCCAGTTCATCATCATACAGAATGTCTAATCAAATTAGTTAATCTTTAACAGTTTAATAACAAAAATGACATTTTAACCACATTTTTAAGCAAATGAAAATATAACTAATGCATTTTAGAGCCAGGTGGTGTGATGTGTGTGCGATTAGAATGTGGGATTTTGCTTTTCTGTTTATTTTGTGGTGGATATATTTGTATGGCTGTTAGTAGACAGAACTGATTTATGCTACTTACACATGAGAATCAGTAAGGTCGAAACTTGCTGCATTAAATTTGGCATGAAGTAATTCACCATATTTATATTTAAATTAGGGCTGGGTGATAAATCGATAACGATAATTATCGCAATATAATTTTAAAATGCTAAAACGATATGAAGAGTTCGATAAATGTTTTCTATCATGTTTATGTGCCAAAAGCGTAACGAAACACTGACCGTCTGTCCACTCGGACCAAAGTTTAAACGGCAGCGTGAGCTTACTAGAGCAGATGAGTCTTGGTCACGCGAGCACTAAACAGCGCTGTGAGATCCAGTGTGAAGCGCTTGAATCCATCAAACAACACAAAAGATTCAGTGATTTAAACTAGTTTAAAGCTGGATGACACCGTCCTGACAAACAGGAGAAAAACTGTGCGCAACGATACAGTCAGAAGGTTTTTCAATCTACAAATCGCCATTTATGGATCTACTGTAGTAACACTAACTGGACCGTGTTATTGTGGCAGAAATGTGGGTATTTGTATAGAATTTTACTATATTATTAATGTATACATGAATTAAATGTATAAAAGGAGTAATGGAATATAATTACAGTTTTATGATTTAAGCTTTAGCATGTGTGCATTTATAATAAATGTCTTTAGGCTACTGTTTTTCATACAGATACCTAAAAACCATATAGTTATATTTTTACCATGGTATTGAGGTGCAATGTGTGGTTTTAACTAGGGCTGTGTATTGGCAAGAATCTGGCGATACGATACGTATCACGATACAGGGGTTGCGATACGATATGTTGCGATACTGTAAGCAAGGCGATATATTGGGATATTTCTTATTTTATGAATAGGATATATTTTTAGGAAAGCTGTCATAAAGAACACACCACCATATGCAAACCTTAGCAATAAATAAATAAATAAAATAAAAATTATTT